GTATATGTTGATCACTTACCAGTTTTAACAAAATGTTATTATTTAAAAAAATGGCAATAAATCAGGAGGAAAGACACTTGATGCAATGATCAATTAAAATTAGAACGAAACAAATGATAAAAAACGCTTTTAATAAGGAAGCAGATGCAAAACTCCTTGCACTAGCAATTCCCAAGATTAAAAAATAAAGCAAGTTTCCCAGCTAATCCATGTTAAGAATATAATGGAATTCGCTTTAAAACTTTCCTTCAAGATGTTCATAAACATGGCACGAAAGTCGTCCGATACGAAAGACTGTAATTTATCTTTCTGATGGCTCAAGGGCCCTACTTTAAATTCTGTTTTCCTTGTTATGAAACTCGCCTTATTTATTTATCTCTCGAGCAGTGCAACTGGCAAAAACTTCCGGGTTTCAAGTGTCGATAGCACAGTTTTTCGTTAATTTTAATGGGTTTTGCTTAAAGTTCTCCCTAATCCCGTCAAAAGGCAATTTTTGATGTCCACGATTCGAGACTCATTAAATGACTTACTAATTTCTCAGAATAAAGAAGACCTTCCATTCCCAAGTCCTTTCGTTCTACAAAATCCTATTAACTCACTTCCTTTAATTAAAGTTGAATAATAAAACAGATAAAAACAAAACTAGTTTACTTCCTTGGTTTCTTATTGTGTTTTGCTGATATAAAGGAAAACTGAATCAATATGAAAATATAACCGATGCGAATTATTTGGATTTTATCGTTCGGGCAGAAACATTATTGAAGCCTTGTTTAGTTTCTCCAGAGTTTCCAGTTAAGTAGACATGAAGCCTGTGAATATGCAAGTTCGAAATTGAGTTCTTTCAAAAGACTATGGGAATATGAATTTGGTTAATTGGGTAAAGCATATTTGCAGAAGGATTTGGAAAACATTTTTGCCTATTGAAAAATAAATGAAAGGACCACGTAAATGTAGTTTTGAGGCTGCTTAATTGAAATTGTATCGAAAAATTGCTTATTTATATAACTTGTGACAATCACTCCAACATGGATTTATAAATCAATCGCCCACGTTTTCGCCCGTTTCTTACTCTCAATTCATTCTGTTCCAGTTCATCGAATTGTCGCTTCTAATTTTCGTTTGCTGACTTTATTAATCTACAGAACAAATATGATGTGAACCCTACTTCGCAACCGCTTTAATATGCAGTTTATATTATAAAAGTATAATAATATAGACATGGCTAACTAAGACATGGCTGGAAAGTGTATAATTCGGTAACTCAAGGGCCAGATGGAATGTTGGTCTTACTTTACTATCCGAAGAAAAGCACGCGAAAGCATAAAACACGGCCCAAACTAAGAAATAAATCCTGGACACGTACGCAGGGTTTGGAAGAGGAAATAAAAATTACATTCGCTTGCGGAAACAGGCATATCATTATGAATGTTCGTGCTGGCTTTGCGATTGGAAAGAGGCGAAATAAAGCTTAACGGCCGGAGAAATTGCCCATGATAACCACTGGTAATATGCATGAGTGACTGCTCGAACAGCCTGCTTCCATAATGAAAGTTTTATAAGAGAATCGTCAGAATAGGTGCCAATGAAGCGTTTATGGACGTTGAAAGGAGGGAATTTCTGCAAGCTTGCGACTTAATTCAGGAAAAAGATTTAGTCAATTTTGCGTCCTGGTTTTCTTTTACGACTTTTTACGACTCTGTGAATTTTATGTAAAAATTATGCAAAAAATAAATGATAATTCCTAAAACGAGTGAAAAATGTGTAATTTTTGTGTCTTTTTTATGTATTCCGTACATTCGAGTCGAAAATTGCGTTTTCCCGGCCTTTGGCGTGGTAAATCGAAGTATTGAATCAGATTTCTTCATGCAAAAATCGGAAGCTACTAAAAATTTAACATTTTGCATCAAAACCGTATATTTCACAAGAAAATTGTGTTGTTTGGGACGCTAATTTGAAGGTAAATTAAATTAGATTTATTTCCGAAAAATCGTAAAAAAAACTTTTCTTAGGGACTTGCTTTGCTCAAAAACGATTTATGATTTAGTCAAATAAATTTAATATACTTGCGTAAAAATTGTAAAAAAACAGATTACAAAAACAGCATTTACAGATTTTTTTGTGTTACACATTAGTGTCTAATTACAAAATACATCTGAAAGTGTAAACGAATATAAATCCGCAGGTACAACGGGGCAAACTTAAATTTTAAGACAAAGTCTCCAAGTTTAAGGCAAATAATCATCAAAAGCTTGGCCTAATACAATATCCTCCATCATACTCCTTATCTATTAGGCCGACTTACACATAAAAAATGTACAATAAAGCCGGTTCTAGTCAAGTTTGAAGAACGATGGCTCTTCATTTTATGAACTGGGCTTTGCAATAAATCGCCCTTTTTCGAGTAATTACGTTTGGAGGCCCTGCTAGTGGAGAGCACAAAAACTTGTTAAAGAAGATTAGGCAGTTAAAGCGTGCATTTTAGTGTCTAATCCCCCTGGTGTTTCCATGCGTGAAAATGGCTTGGACGTGGCATTTCCAGTTCCGACTGCGTTCTTTAGCGGCTTAAGGGCAATATTACGGGAAAAATGCATCCGGTCAGACAGTAGGTGACAGTTTTCCACTCTCTAGCTTCTTGTTCTGAAGACTGAGTTTAATTGGCAAAGACAATTCTTTATTTCATTTACTAACAAAAAATTAATATTCCTTGGTTCATCTCCTAATTTTTACGCTCTTGCTTACTTAATTTTGGATGGGGATAAGATGATAAAAAAGGTCGCTTAATACTCCTTTTGCCTTAATCACAAATGCGAAAATGGAGTAATAAAAAAACCATTAGAAGTATCGCAAATTAAGTTACTTCGGGAAATAAACCTTCCTGCACAGACAAAAGTATTGTATAGACGATAAAAGTTACAAACGTTCTGAATGTTTCTTTAAAAGCTCAAAATAGCCCAAGCAACTTCAATTATTTCCCTCTAATGTGAAACTCAGAACTTGAACAGAACTTTGCAGGAATACTTCAAGAAATCAAGTGAATGAGTTTTATCCAGAAGTTTCCATGTTATGTTATCCATGGCGCTTATGAGTGGCTGCTGTGACATTTGTTTGCCTACTAAACACCATTAAAAGCAGGGAGAAGATATCAGAGAGAAACCTTCCGCAGATGATTGGTTTGCCATTAAAATATCGTTTCAGTAAACGATCCCTAACTTGCATTAGCTTTTAGCACGATCGTAGTCTGAAATTACCCTCTAAATCCTGGACGCTCTTAAGTAGTCATTTGAGAAGACGAATTATCATCAAGATTGTGCTAAAAATTTAATAAAAAAGACGTTAATCCGTGTATCGGATGTAGTTAATTATTAACGAAGCGCGAAGCAATAAATGTGTTCTAGTTGGGAAGAAAATTGTCGGATCTCGAATAAAAAAAATCGCTTGGATTTTCAACGCACGGGAATGAAATTCAATTAGCCATGTTGTTCACGCAAAGTACAGATTTTCGAGCAAAAGAAACAGAAAAATGCCTCTTAAGACGAAGCAAAAGTTAAATGAAAAAAAGTGAAGTGAAGGCGAAATTGGTAGTTGGAAGAGAAACAAGTGAGTAAGTCTCTACTTACTAGTTTTTGCGCGTTTTACGCAAAACCATCAAATTCAATTGCCAAATCACATATGGATTTATTTTTTTTATTGTAAAAACTACAAACATTTAAATGTGGACTTTTCAAACTGATCTTTGGAGATACAAAAACCGGAACAAGACAAAATTATAATTTATTCAAATGTGTTAGATTAACCAGTTTCTTACGATTTTTTAAAAATAAATCGAATTAATTCACCATTGAAGTGGCGTCACAAAAAACTCAACTTTCGCGTGAAAGAAATGGTTTGGGACCAACAAAACGGGTAACCCAAACTAAGTCAGAAAATAGACAAAATAAACAAAACAAAATGTTAAGTTTCCCACAAAAAAAATACTTTTATGTCTTTTGCATGGCAAAAACTTGCTTAATACTGCGATTTACGAGTTACTGAAGGACAGAAAGTGGCGAGCAAAGGAAAATTAAAAATCCAAACAATACAATAATATAATTTCTACAAAGTTTACTCTACTGAATTGATCTAATTTTCCAAGAAAATGAAACTAATTAATCCAAGAAATTTTATCAATTTCACAAAACAACATGACGACAGTTTTCCAATAAAATGTACAATTTTCGGGTAAAACAAACGCCCAAAAGAGCATACACAGAGCCCAGAAAGAAATCACAAAACCAAATAAAAAATATATATTATTTTAAAATATTGCTATTTAAACAAATTTTTGCTTGCAAACATGCATGTTGATGCAATGCATGGATTCGTTCAGTTCTTTGATCGATTTCTCGAATCGATAATTCTCAGATACTTGGGCCAGAACCATCTTATATACAAAACAATTCAAACTAGGGAAGTTGTTACAGATTGAAATTAAGGCGACTTGTAGGGGTTTCCTAATTTAAACAAATTGGCTAAATTGTTCGCAAATAAGATTGAAACAATGTTATTACAACCCTTCTTCGCATAGTTTGGCCCCGTTAAATTAACTGACACTAATGGATCCCACAGCTATTAAGCCTTGAAGATCCATTGGCCCTTTCAAGGCTCAGCAGGCAAATTTATATCGGTGTGGACGTTTACATCAAATAGATTCGCATCCACGGACAGATAACCATATTTTACCTTTCCACGTAACGCCGAGCGAACCCCTTATTAGATTCGAAATCAGCAATAAAGTAATCGAATTTTTCGTCTTTCCACAACGAACCTTTATCGAGACTATAAAGAAATCTGCACGGCTTAATATCGGTTAAGATTGATATCCTGATGCCAAAAAGAATTGTCCATTTCGAGGGCCGTAAACGAATGGTCAATAATGGTTTCCGAGGCTTTATGTGTTTTTCCAAGGGATGATTTGGCATTTATTGATGAACTGACCGTGATTCCTTCTTGTGTTCACAGCATTTCGCGTTCTCAATTTGTTTTCTCGCTGTGCCACTTTGAGAATAATGAACAATTGTTATTGCAGGTTCAGCTGTGGCAATGATAGGAGCAAATCTGCGTTTTGGAAGCAGCATCGCCAATGTAACTTCGAATGCGACCAAAGTGTTTCAGTGCCATCCTGGGGGAACCGCCGAAGCGGCTTTGATTTTCGCTCTGGGCACGTTGGGAATGGCAGCAAATATGGCCCTAATGGGTGTCATTTTATCCAACAAACATCTCAGAAGGTATGTAGAAAGCACCGAAAAATTCTTTCACTTTGAGCTTCGAAATCGCATTATGAAACTGGGAAGGATTCTCCTTCATGCCGCTTTGCGTTGCAACAGCAATATTAAATTTATATCCCTGAAAGCCGTATTTTACATGCAACACTATATAGAGGCGGATATGGGTAAATCCTAAAACACAACAACATCGACAATTTTGTCATCCGTTTTACATATTTTTAGAGTCTCTGTAAAAAATGTTTTACGAGCGTCGGTGAAATGTTGTAACAAGCCCAGAAAAGGCGTAATAAAATAAAAATGAAATAACCGAATAACACGGAATAGTGTCGCAATAAAATGGTTTATAATGCACTTTTATATGTTAGCTATCTAGCAAAATTGCGTGTATAAAGTAATAGGGGGCGTGAATGAACAGTCGTTCAATTAGGAGCAACCGTAGCAAATTTAAAAGGGCTCTTAACAGATTTGATGTGGATGAAATGAGCAATTAACAGAAAAGGCATGAAATCATAATTAGTTAAAGCCACTTTATATGCAAAAGTAAAACAGAGTAATTTGAGAAATGCTGATTTCATTTTTACAATTATTGGGAAGAACTTGTATTTTCAAACGAACAAGTTGCATGAACCTGATTGATATTTTCGGTGGTTAATGGCTGATTTATTCAAAAATGCGATCACAATAACATGAAACATGAGATTTTGAAACGATTTTCTAATGATTTTTTGCTAATAACTCAGTTAATTTTGGAGAAATTACGAATGTATTTGTTGCGCCCTTTGGGAATACAGTGATTAAATTTACGAACGAAATCATTTTTCCATCAATTGTTAAGAACTAAAAACGCTGATTAATCGTCAGTAAGACCATGTGGAGATTCCATCAATTAAGCACATATACAAAGTGACCCCTATTTAAATATGAAACTTTAAGTAACGTGACTACTACACATTTATTAAGTAATCAAATAAAAAACATAGGAAATGGCGTAAATTTTAGCAGCGCTTTATCCGATAAAATATTCAATTGATTTCCCTGTTTCCTGCTAATGTTTCAAACTCTGCACCTGCAAACGCTTAAACTAAAATACGATTTTTTCACTAAGTACGCAAATAACGATTATCTTTTGCTGTGAGTTTTCTACTTAAATATGTATTTAATGCAGGTAGCAAAATAGACTTTAGCTCTAATAGATAGATCGTAAGGCTAAATTGATTCAGGAAAAGAATCCGCTGCTGACTCAGCACAAAATCTAAATTATTTTCCTGAACAGGTCACCGAGTACAGTCCTTAATGTTTTTACAAGCCCGGAATTCTCCATTGTTCCCTTGGCGATGCCATTTTCCTTTGAGCTTGTAGTTGGTGGCTCATTCGAAGCGAATTAACCACCATTTTCTTTCGGAAATTTCGATGGCTAATTCTATAACAAGAATGACTTCGAATAGTGGAATAAAAGAATCTGGAAATGTGATTTTATCATTCGACAAAATGGGGCAACAAGCTAGAATGTTACTCAATGGATGAGAGCGTTGCTCAATGCTTCGCATCTTAAGAATTTTAACGATTTTCCACTTCCAACCTTCTGCCAAATTTCCTGTTATCGAAAATCCACAATACGGCCCAGATTATAAACTAGTTTGGGATTCATAATGTTCCATTTCCAAAGTGATCAAAACTTAGCGACGCCCCGGCAAATTCTCAAAATACACGCCGAACTTGGTCAGTACTTAGACAAAGCTCACTAGAGCGTTAATGCCTAATTAGAAAAGCTTATTATCGGTTTTAATTAAATCTTCTTTAAAGTTGGCGGTGCCATGTTCATGTAATTAAATCGACGCCATCCGATCTATGGAAGTAAGATCGATACAATTGAATAACTTCAAGCTGTAAAGGTGGTAAATAGGCTAAAATACAGCAATCGGTGAGAAACTGATAATTCGTTTACTTGAGTAATATTGACAACATTATAGTTCAGAAAAAAAAAGTGAATTTTATAAAACAGCCATTTGTAGAAACTAACACCATCTCAACAGTTTCAATGCTTTCCCAAGATCGAGAGTCTAAAATAGATAACAATTAAATCAACAATAAATCATGTAAATTCCGGACTTTAATCGAATTCAGTATTTTTAAAGTTAAAGTTTAAAAAGATAATTAAGATCAGATGCAAACGCAGCTTGAGCTTATTCAAACAAACTCAAACGAACTCCAACAAACTGAATCAAACGCCGGTAGAATCCAGTCCCTTCTTAATGTGAATACAGAAGAAACTACTGAGCCAATAGCATTGAATTCTACATTGTTTAGAGTAAATTAAACCATATTTCGCACGTTTTCAAACCCCGCGTTTTCTATACCATCGAGGAATGGATTTTTTACTTAGAATTAGAAATTACAAACAGCATTTTGGCATGTTTTGCAACACTGTTTTAAGTCGAATTTTGATACCCTGCAAAATCACCTTCCATGCATAGTTTTAAAATTCAGATTCTGAAACAAACGTCTTGAGAAATTAGCCCAATTAAATCCCAACAAACACCTGCAGATTTCTGTAGTCTGAAATGCTTTCAACTTTATGGTTTTGTTTGTAAAGGTAAGAAAGGCGAATAAAGACATTTTTACAGATGAAAACTCGTGATTCTACTACAAAATACAGGGATTTTTTCAAAAGATGCCTTTCAGTGCTTCACCGTTGGACATAATAAATTGTTCTTATCACTTAGGAACAACCTGAGAATGTCGTGGAACACAATTTTTGTCTGACGTTTCGCAAGCATAAGTGGCTGGCATCTTCAAAGGTGTTTCGCTCCAAAGTTTACTGCCGGATCAGTCCAGGCGAAACACCCCTGATGATGCAGGCCATTCCTCCTGGCGAAACTTCACAAAAAATACTGTTTTCACTTAAACTCACCAGCTTCAAGCAATGGCCACGAAAGCCTAACTCTTTGCATAATCTGAAAATGATTTGTACCGGGCTTTCGAAAAGCTCAGCAGAGTTTTACAAGGCTCTAAATTCATCGAGATAAATTTTCTTACTGCGTTATGATGGCTTGACGTCGGGTTTATAAAACTGTTGAATTTTAATGCAATGCATTTGAATATAGCTGAGCACTTTACCGGGTTTCTCAATGTCGTTATTACAGTCGGCACCAAAAACACTGAGAAATCTAAATAAGGCCTTTAAAATGCAGCGACAGCAGCGTCTGTATAGACGTCGGTTGCTGGCAGTTTACCAAATGATCCCAATGAATCCTTCTTGTATTATGCGGTAAAACCCGAAGAAATTTGAGCTATGTGCCCAATTTTTTCCCGCTTTTTGCAGAAACGACGGGATATAGAGAATGGGCTGTTGAAAAGTTCGTTTATTATTAAAGGGGAAAAGAAGCTAATTAAGGCGCATGAAAAGTCCCACGTCTACAACTAGTTATATTTTTATTTCTAACGCAGGTGTTTATGGTTGCCTTGTTCGACCCACATACAGTCCGAAATTAAATTTGTATTGCTAAACTTGAGTAGGCCCAAAAACCGACTACGCCCTCAAGCTTTTTCGAGTAAAGCTATAAAATTCTTGGGTTGTAAACTTTACGCATTAAATATGAAAAACATACACGCAAAAATGTATGTGTATTTTCACATTTGCTTCCACTCTAAATAAGGCGGCAACGAATGCAATAATTAAATAATAATATACTAAACCATAGTGTCAGGTTTCCGAGTGGATCTGAAGTCCGCAATGTGGTCACAAAGGCTCTTTACGCAATAAATTCTGTTTATGACTGCATAGCCGAGTATTTGCCAATGGAATGCAAATGAAATACTCGTTTTAGTGTGCGTTGCCATGAGTAGGGTAAATTAGCGAATATAACTTTAATGTGCGGGCATGTTCAAATATTAATTTTGCTGATATGCCGATCTACATGTTTCAATCGATACTATAGGCCAATTCAAACTATCCATAAAGACTCTTTAGAGCCTTTAGTCTTTAAATCAATTTAAACGTTTTATAAAAAATTAATGAAAAAAGTACAAAATTGATATCGTCGCTCTGCACCCCACAAATATACACTTCGGCCCCAGAATGTAATAAATGCGATAAGAATCATCCAGCAACCGATCTGAAATGTGAAATTGCCAAAAAAACCGCATGGCATAAGGAGAGAATATGAAAACATCCAAACTGGCAAAGAATCCTGCAAGATGCGCCCTGAAGGGTGTAAATGAGCGCAAAAAGGAAATAATCAAATCCCGAAAGTTAAGGACAAAAAATTGTATTATCTCGCATTAGCTGGCGCTTCTCCTTCTCACAATCTGCTATTTGCCGACTATTTAAAGCCTGCCCTTAGACTAGAGGTATCCGTTTTAAGATCGAGAGATAAGCCATAATCGCCTTTGTTACATATGCAACAGACGTTTAAACCATGGGCATCCAGTAACGGATTCATACACAAAATGGAACCATCCATCTGCCACAGGCTCTATTTTATGGCATTCCCTATGCCGGTCCCTTTGTCGATAGATCTCGCTTATTCCAGACAAAAACCCATATTGCCTTTTATCATTTTTGCGGCGATGGATCTTTGTTGACCGGATTCGAATCGCAGTATTTCCTCGACGAACGGAACTGCCGCCATAATCGAATATTCTTCCACAGCGTTGGAAAAGGAGCTTCATTGTTGAGCACGGAGACTTATATATTATATATAATAGCTTATTGATGAAATTAATGTTCAGATCCTTCGGGTAGCTGAATGTGGATCGTGCTACTTTCGAGTCTTTGCCCTTAAGCATGTTTTATAAATACAAGCAAATTTCAGTCGAAAATTGACTTGCAGCCGGGACTTTTTGAAAGCCAAGTGATGAGCAAAATAAAACCAAGACTTGCATAGTCAATATTAACGAAAGTAACAATAAAATTAAAAGATAATAATACCCAAACATAAAATAAAAATAATATCAATGGTGAAATCTGAAAGTTTCGAAATTCAACAATTTTAATTATT